TCCTGGAATTGCTGGCATAGGTGGGGTTCTTAGAGATGGTGGTGGAAATGTTATCTTCTCTTATGCTGGCCCTATTGGGTATGCTACTGCCAACAAGGCTGAACTGAGTACGCTGTATCACTGACTGAAGCTTTTGAAGGAGAGGAACTGTGGGAATACTGTTGGGTTGAAGGGGACTCTCTCAATGTCGTCAAGTGGTGCAACAAGGAGTAGCGTGTTCTTTGGGATCTTCGCCCTCTCGGTTGTGAATCATGGACATTTCCTCTACCCTTTTGGTTTTTTTTTGCTCATGTTTATTGTTTTGGCGGATCTTTTGGCTAAAGGGGGTGCGCAACTCTCTTCTTTGGTCATTTATGACTCTATAATTAAGTTCTCTTAGTTCTTAATAAAAGTAGTAACATTTGTCAAAAGAAGAAGAAGAAGTGGGTTGTGTTAGATATGCAGCTACCATAAAACACATCTTATCATGAATCTTGAACCTTTTCCTTACTAAAGGTATGGCCCTTGATAGAAAAAAATGGATGAAGAGAATAATGGACTTCAAATAATTGAGATAAGACTTGGATGATGATGATCATACTATATCTAAATTGTGACAAAAATAACATAATTATGACGTAGTCACTACACAAATTTACAAGCATGGACCACAACCAAATAACCTTACTAAGAAACTCCCAATCCAACTGTTTTATTTTTATCTTTATTGGATTAAAGAATGTAGTGAAAAAAAAAAAAAATCAAACCTTGCAGAACAATGAAGAAAATAGAGAGAATTAGGTTAATAATTAAGATTTAAGAAGATGAAAACAAGGAACTTACGATTTCAAAACCAGTAAAGGAAAATATATATGATTTCCATATTTCCGATTTTCAGAGCAAAAGATTTACAGCTACATGATTTCCATATTTCCGATTGGACTACTAGAACATTTGTTTAAACTAAGATGTTCCATATGGAATGAGAACTTGCCTTCAGTCGATCTTGATACTAAAAAATCAGCAATCATTTTTTTTTTTAATGTCACCGATCACACTTGTTCCCTTTCTTAGTGAACCTCAAGTTTTTGTGATCTGTCCTAGAAAACACACTTGACAATTAGTGGATGATAATCTCCAACTGACTATCTAGACCATTTAAATCCAATTATCTAAATTTTGTGGAGTCTAACTGAGAGAAGGGTGCAGTTTGTATAGAGCCGAGGCTCTAAACAATCAAAGTAAAGCACACGTTTACATAGTGTCGAGAAATGTGGTTTCAATAATGAAAATTCTTGTGATAGCTTTAAAATATATTTTCATCTTTAATAAAATTTAAATCTTAAGAAATAATGTAGATCGAGCAGATCTATCAAAACTTAAATATATTGAAATTTGATGGTCTAAATATATGTTAGAAGATGCACTATTTTCAAAACTTGAAATCCATTTTTCTCTCATGTCCATCCATCTTGATGTCAAGATGATCAATTTGAAGATATTTGAGCATTAAAACAACCTCTTCTAGTGAAATTTTTGATGTGGGCTCTAATTTGATTAATTAGAGCCTTGGCTCAAAACTTTTTCCTTGAGGGAATAACTATCTGTGTGTTCAATAAAAATGAAGCAAACATTAAAAAAAAAGGAAAATAAACATTGTTGACTTATTGATACAGAGAAAAAATAAAACTAGAACATTAATAAATAAATAAATAATTGAGAGAATATACTCTGTTTCAAGACCTACAGGAGAATCGATCAAAAAAAAAAAGCTGATAAAATATACTCTCTCTCAAGGTCTGCTAGATAATCGACCCCAAAAACGATATTTTCACAATACCAAATTTACTCAATTCTCATTATCTGATGGATTCTCCTACTTTAAATACATTTCAAAGAAAGATAAATAAATAACTAAAAGAACCCAAAAAAGGGGAAATGTTTCTATACATCCCCTAAGGCATAGAAGATCTATGTTTCTCCTACCATCCAGCCATCCAATTTTGATCAAGAGAGTCACTCATCATTTGATCTTAGAACTGAAATCTCAAAGTATTTTATTTTTAGTTTTTTTTATACAAATTGTATGAATATAAAATTTAGTACGTGCCATATTTTCATTGGGGCACACATATAAAAAATATTAAAAATATTTTTTCAATAAAATATAATGATCAAAATACCCCTTGAAATTTTAAGGGGTATTTTGCTCATTTTATTTTTTTGGAAATATTTTATTTATTTTTAGCTAGCAAGAGTTTAATAGAGGATTGGACGTCCAAAATTTGGTATCAAAATACTTTATATAAAAAAAATTAAAAATAAAATAGTATAGAGACGTGACATTGTCATTAGGACACTCTTAGCCCTCCATTCAGAATGGAGGGTTGGATAAAGAGAAGTATATAAGTTTTCTGTTGTAAAGAAAGCATAAAAATCTTGCCCTTAAAAAAGAAAAAAAAAAACAAAAGGAAATTCTCTCTCTCTCAAAAGTGATGCACTTCCCTCCCACACTATCTTCTCTCTTCATCTCCCTATTTTTTCTCTGTCTTCATGTCTCTCTAATGTCTCTCATGTGGAGTCCCTTGAATCAAGGAAACTTCCCCCACATAATCTTCATGTACTCTCTCTATCTTTTATTTAACTAACCTCATCCTCTATCATCTAAAAGGTAAACTTGCTATCTTTAAAAAAACTTCCGCAAATTAGGGATAGCCCTAATTTAAAGATAGTATTTCCTAAAAAAATAACCCAATTGATCGAAACACCCTAATCTCTAACTCATGCCTAAAATATTTAGGCTCTTCATATCCCTAAAGAAAAAAAAAAAAAAATACTAGATCTTTTTTTATTTAAACTTCGCATCTAGGACAATCTCCCCTGGTTGGGAGAAGCACAACCTCGAGCTTGATTCCAAATGAACTATTTTCATCACCATGCAAGACAATGTCTTAAACTTGATCTTCTTTTGGAATTTCATCATCTTCCTTAGCCAAGTGTACCTTCATCTTCGCTTTTGGCCATTCATACACACAGTATCCTAGTTCATGTATACTTTGCAATATCCATTTTTCTTCATTCAATTTTAGTTGGCGCGAAACCTCCTTCTGGGTTGAAAATTGCTTATCGATCCTCCATTGAAATTTAGTCTCTACTCGTATCACAATTAGAAAAACTTCACTTAAAGTCAATGGCTAATGTAGAAAAACATTGTCCCTAATGAAGGGTTGAAGACTATTTATATATCGAACAAATTTTTATCATTCTATATCTTGAAGGTTATTTCGAGCATTCGAGCAACTAATCAATAAAACTTTCAAGTATAATATTTCAATTTTTTTTCATTAAGTCGGAGATTTTGGAGTTCTGGAAAGAAAATTTGCTCATGATCCACAAGAAGAAAACTTTCTTTTAATTTTTTTTTCATCTTTCGCCAGTCACTAATTTCTCCCTTTAAGTCGGGATTGTTGATCTAGCTCCCACCAGTGCAATACACCCACAAAGCTTCGTTGCAAGCTGTTTAAACTTACGTTCCTCGGGACATTCACTCCATTCAAAATAACTTTCAACCGCACTGAACCAATAAATAAAAACTTCAATATGGGGCTTACCATGAAATTCTGAGAGATTGACTTATGTTTTTTGGGCGATTCTCTCGATTCAAAATAATTTTCAACCGCACTGAACCAATCAATAAAAAACTTCAATATGGAGCTTACCATGAAATTTCGAGAGATCAACTTTAATACCGAAACCTCATGATTGCTCTATGGGATGCAGATCTAGCCTATAAATTTCTTCGGTTTATAAATTTCTTCGTTACGCTTGGAATCAGCACCTTGGATTTGTTATATGACTATTGGTGCAAGATTAATGCTGCTGTGAGAATCTTTTTCATGATGGCATTGTTCTCCAACCCGTTGTAAACCGTTGATTCATTTCACGTATTTCTGTCCGAATATCGACCAAACTGTCACAAACATCCTCCATGTCAGCCAAATTTTCTATATCTTGTCTAAGCAATCGTCCAAGCTTGATTAGCTTTTGGTGGCATTGCAAAAAAAAATCTGGATAATCTTGCGAAAATGATCGAGAGAATATATCATCTCTCAAAGTCTGCAAGAAAATCCCCCAAAAATGATCTTTTCATAAGACCAAAGTTATTCAATTTTTATTCTTTAACCTCTACAATTAGGGATTCTTCCTCTTTAAGTACAACTCAATTGGAAGATAAATAATAACAGAAAGAACCCATAAAAAAATCGAAAATTCTCTCTCTTTTTAAAGAGTTACGCAGTTTCCTCCCTCCCTATCTTCTCTCTTTCATCTCCCTATTTTCTCTCTCGTCACGTATCTCTCTAATCTCCCTCATGTTGAGTCCCTTAATCAAAAAAATTCCCCCCAACCAATCTTCACGTACTCTCCTGATCTTCCATTTAACTTCCTCCTTTCTCCTCTAAAAGATAAATTTGTTATCCTTAACAAACTTCCTTAACCTAGGGATAGCCCTAATTCAAAGATATTATTTCCTAAAAACATAACCCAATTGATCATAACACCCAAATCTCTAACTCACGCCCAAAATATTTGAGCCTACCTAACATATCTTTTTTTATCCCTAAGAAAAATAGAAATAGTAATATTAATTTTATTTATTTATTTTTAACTTTTCTTTTGTGTCACTTATTAACCATTAAATATGGACCCGCGGGTCCAAGGGATCAATAATGTACCAACAACTGGGTGACATGGAAACTTATCAACACTTCTAGAAATAGATACGATGACCCTATTGAGCGTCCAATAGTGTGTCCCTCTTTTTGGACACGTTTCAACTTTAGAATGCGGCCTTTCTTTGTTAGAAACTTAGAAATATCATTCTTCAATGATGAAGATATTATTTTGGAAACAAAATATGTTTTAGAATAAAAAAATAAAGGATTTTCCATGTTATGTAAACTCGTAGCATGCACATTCTTCATGAAATGTATTTTTATTTTTTATTTCATTATATAAATAATTAAAATAGCCATATTCATTTTCTAAACGTAAGCTATTGTCCATGTGTACATAAATTACTTCTTTTTATGTTAGTTACATAAATTTATTCTGAAACAACCAATTTACATTAATCAATTTTAAATTGTTAAGGGGAATCAGGACGACTCCATAGCTGCTACTCCTGCTCCTCTTGTGATGCCAACTGCTGATTTTGCAATGGAAGAGGTTGGTATTCCATCAATCAATCTCTTTGAGGAGCACCAAGCTTATCTGGATATATTCGGGGATATGGGAGCTTCATTCAATGCACCGATGTCCTTGATTTTGTCATCTTTGGATTCCATTACCCAATCTACTGCGGATGAGCATGCTGCGCTGCGAGTGTTGTTAACTCTAATACTGCTGCTGCACATGTGCACTCTGTTGCCTCTCCCTTGGCCCCTTTTGAAGCAGTTTTGGCTGCTCCTGAAGCAACTACTGCTCACAATCCAGCTTCTTCTACTATGGCGGTTGCGAAAATCCAAAATTCTCCACACTGCCTCGCACTCATCGGCTCGTCTGGCTGCACGATTTCCCTGCATCTCTTCTGAGGATGTTTCTATTCAGAGCCTGTGCAATGATATACAACCTTTGGGGATCCCTAGCAACAACTTTTCTATTTCAAGCTCCGACGAAGATGGTGGCTTTGATGGGCTAGGTAATACATCCTCCTTTTATGAAGATCATTAGCCGGAATGTCCACGGCCTTGGAGAAGAACAACGTAAAAAGGATGTTCTTTTTCTTGTTAATAAGTTTCATTATTTTGCAAAAAACAAAACATATTTCCCCTACATTATTCGATGCTAAAGAAATTTGGGGTAATAGCTATGTTCGTTTTGATGGGTGGATGCTCTGGGCAATTCAGGTGAGCTATGGCTCCTTTGGGACCCCACAATTCTTCTGTGTTGCAATGTTGCAAACTTGGATCTAGTGCTTGACTATTATATTTGAATGATCCATTAGAAACATCCATTGGGTTCTTGTTAATGTTTATGGAGCCAATTCTCCTTCTCTTAAAACTGATTTTTTGGAAGATGTATTTAATATTTTTGTTTCATCTGGGCTTCTTGTTTGCATTCGGGGGACTTTAATTTGATTAGGCACCCTGATGAGATTTTTTCACCTGCTCGCTTCAATTCGTATATGCACTTATTAAATGACTTTATTATGAGTCACAATCTGTTAGATCTCCTGATTACTGGTCCACGATCTACTTGGTCTAACACCAGTGTTGACTACCTTTCTAAGTTGGATAGATTCTTTCTCTCTACTACTTGGAAAAATGCATTCCCTTTGGTTGAGGTACATGCTTTGATTTGCCTATTTGTTTAAGCATTGATGATGTTATTTCTGGCCCTAAGCCTTTTCGATTTGAAATTGGTTCGATTTGAAATTGGTTGGCTTGATGAACCTGATGTTATTGATCTTATTAGACAATCTTTGGAAAATGGTTATGCACATGGCAATGTGGGTTTTTAGCTTCACAAAAAACTCATAGCCCTCCAGCATAAAATTATTGCTTGAAAGAAAAAATAGAAACTACTTATTTGGATTTAGAGTTGATTGAAAACCACAGATTTAGGAATGTCAACAAATCTTAGAGGATCTATTGATTAATAAGAATTGTTAGCTCAAAAATTTGCATGACTATATGAGATTAGAGGAAATTTATTGGAGGAAAAAGTTGCATGTGAAATGGCTGAAGGAAGAAAATAGAAACACTAAGTTTTTCCATGCCATTGCCAATGCCCGTAGAAGACAAAATGACATCTCATTCTTAAGTTTGCCTGGAGTTACTGAAAGGGACTCCTTAGGCCAAAACAATGCCATTATTAAACATTTCTTAAAAACCTTCTCTATTGAGCCTCACTTTGATGTAAATCTGAATGGAGTACCTTTCAAGGTTTTGCCATCTTCTTTGGTAGAGGACTTCTCACTTTGATGTAAATCTGAATGGAGTACCTTTCAAGGTTTTGCCATCTTCTTTGGTAGAGGACTTGGAAAGGTACGTTTCAATGGAAGAAGTTAAAAATGCAGTATTTAGTTTTTTATGTGATAAGGCACCAGGACCTAATGGTTTCCCACTTATTTTCTTTCTGAGATTTTGGGGAATGCTTAAATTTGATCTTGTTCTTATGGCCAAGGAATTCATGAGTTCTAATCATATCCTCAAAGGTATCAACCTATATTTCTCTTATTTCAAAGAAAGATATTATTACAAAACTTGGTGATATCCGTCCAATCAGTCTTCTTTCTAGTCTTTATAAAATTATTGCCAAAATTCTTGCATAAAGACTTAAGGTTGTTTTACCATTCCTTGTTTCTGGAGAACAATCTGCCTTCATTCGCGATATGATGATAACAGACAGTATCCTAATTGCACAAGAATGTCTCCATTTAAGATCTTTAGATGAGAAGGCTGGGGTAATTATTAAATTGGATATGGATTTCTTGTATTTTGGGATGCCTTTCCTCAACGCATTTTTTTGTTCTTATAAATGATTGCCCAAAAGGGTTCTTCAAGGCAACTAGGGGTATCATACAAGGTGATCATCTTTCTCTCATTTTATTCGCTTTGGTTGCAGAGGGTTTCAACATTATATTCAAAAATATTGTTCAGAAGGGCAGATTGTTGGGTTTCCAAGTGGGTTCCCGTGGGCCTGTCATATCCCACCTGCAATATATGGATGACACCTTAATTTTCTGTGATGCGGACCCTGTTATGATAAAAAACCTTAACACCTTCCTTATTTGTTGTTAGTTAGCTCTTGACCTTAATGTTAACTTTCATAAAACTTCAATGGTGGCGGTTTCTTGTGATTCTAATCTTATTCATTCTTTGGGTCCTATCCTTGGATGCAAAATTGATAAGTTTCCCATTAAATATTTGGGGGTCCCTATCCCAGACTCTAGGCTTTCTCGTCTAGTTTGGGACCCTCTAATCCATAGATACCAAGTTAAGTTGGATCTTTGGAAAACAAAAACTCTTTCTCTAGAAGGATGTATTACTCTTGTGAAGTCTACTTAAGCAGATCTATCCATTTATTTAATGTCTATCCTTCAAATGCCTAGTGATGGTATTAAGATTATTGAGAGACATATGCGGAATTTTATTTGGGGTTCTTATGATAATGATCACAAGAAATTTCATTTAATAAGCTCGGACAAAATTTGCACCCCAATTGAAGTGGGTGGGCTGGGTATTCGAAGGCTTAAATATATGAATCAGGCACTTCTCTCAAAGTGGTGGTAGAGAATAGTTCAAGGCCCAAACTATATTTAGATGGAAGTTTTAGGATCTAAGTATGATTTTGATCATATCTCTCATCTTATCAAACAAGGAAGGAGAGGAAAATTTTCATCTTAGGTTTGGAAAGGTATTTACAGTTTTAGGAATGTGGTTCTTGGTAATATTCGGTGGCTGATTGGCAGTACAGAGGATATTTATTTCTGGATTAATATATGGCACGGTGATAGCTCTCTTTCGCTTCTCTATCCAGATCTATTTTCTAGAGTCTCTTCTCCTTCAACAAAGATTGCAAATTTATTTTCTCGCAATCAGTCTGAGGATCTTGTATGGAACATTGCTTGCAGCTACAATAGTGTGCTTTATCATATCATCTCACAACTTCAAAGTCTCATTCTATTGCTTGAAAATATTTATATTTCGCCAAATAGAGAAGATAAGGTGATTTGGGAAAGTGAGAGTGATGGTTTTTTCTCAGTCAAATCAGCCTATAGTCTCTTTTATGATCGAGTTCAATGGTCTTTGGAGAGCTTTCTTGCTATTTGGAAATGGCCTATCCGGTGAAGATTCAATCCTTCCTATGGATAACCCTTCAAGAAAAGGGTCTTACTATAGACAACCTTTTCATTCAGGCTAAAATCCTGCCTAATGTTGGCCTTATGTGTAAGAATGTGGAAGAGACTGGTTGTCATTGGTTGTCATCGCTTTTTACACTGCCCTTTACCTGATTCAATATGGAGATGAGCATTTCATTTGCTTGGTTTCACTTTGACGCAACCTGCCAAATTATTCAATTATTAATAATCTTCATATTCCTTCCCCACCTTTTAAAGGTCTTATTATTTGGAAGATTTTTAGAAGTGTTATTATTTGGTAGATATGGCCGGAAAGAAATAGAAGAACTTTTGATGGGATCTCTTTGGATATATAAAGTATTAAAGATAAGATTTTGCAGTGTCTTTGGGACTGTTACTATGGAATGGTGTGGGGTTTCGACAGCAGATACGTTTTTTAATTTGAAAGTTCTTGCTTTCTCCTTTGTGCCCAAAAATAGGTCGGTCTCCTTCGGGATGCCTCCTCCTAAGGGTTCTTTCAAATTAAATTTCGATGGTAGTTCTTTAGGGAATTTGGGACCAACTGGAGTTGAAGGTGTTCTCAGAGATCATAGCGGGTCTGTTATCTTATCCTTTGCAAGGCCTTGTGGCTCCAACATAACTAACCAAGCTGAGATAGTTCCTCTCCTCAATGGCTTGCAAACTATTGTCAATCGGGGAATTTTGGGAACTATCTTTGTTGAAGGAAATTCCTATAATGTCATAAAATGGTGCCTGTTGGAGCAAAAGGTCCCTTGGACTCTTCATACTTTTTGGCTGAAAATCATGGATGTTTGCTCTTATCCTAGGCTTCAAGTTTCTTTCTCTCATATTTTTCGTGAAGCCAATGATTTAGTGGGTCGCTGGTTAAGCATGGATTCTCTTTATATTCCTTGTCTATTTTTTATGCTTTGATCCTAACTATGTAATCGATGCTTTTAAGCAAACCATAAATAAAAGTTCATAATATTATTAAAAAGAAAACAAAAATTGATTATGTTTCATAAATTAATTTAGAAAATGATATATTTTTTACTTTCAAAATAAGCAACAATTTAGAATAAAGATAAACAATATTTATATTTTTCTTAAATAGTGTTTACACATGTATAAATAAAACTACTTTGTTTTCCAGAAGCATTTTTGTCATTTTATTTTATTAAAAATATTTTTAAAAATTTGAGTTTAATAGAATATTGGATGCCCAAAATATGGCGTGAAAATAAATTATATAAAAAAAATTAAAAATAAAACAGTGTAGAGACGTGACATTATGATTACTTAGCCCTTTATTCATAATAGAGGGTTAGATAAGAGAAAGCATATAAGTTTTATGTTGTAGAAGAAGCATTGAAAGCCAGCCCAACTTTTTGGGGTTCACATTTCTATTACACACGTGTTACAAATAGAGGCGCGTTTCTATAGAGGCTATTTATCGTTTTCATTGCAACTGCAAATGATAATCGATAATGAGGAAATTGAAGCTAAAAAGCCCAAGATCCTTTCTTGTTCATGCGTTGAGTTTTGGCAATCTTCATTGAACTTTGACTACACTAAAATCTTGAGATTTTACTACGTTAAACCTTGCATACCATCAGGGAGACTCTGTTTTTACTGAAAAGACTGCTTTCCACAGTCATGTAGAATGCATCAGCCAATAATTACTTATCGGTATTATTGTGACTTTTTCTAACAATGTCCATCCAATAGTTTGAATATAAATTAATCTTATGGAGTTAAAATGCAAAGATAATGCCCATGAATATCAGTTAATAAGACCCAAATATTTTTTTTTTTGAGAAACAAAAAAAATTAAAAAATTCACCTGTGCAT